AGGAAATCGAAAGAGAGATGGAGAGGGAATAGGAGAAGGAGAAAGAACGAAGGAGAAGGGAAGAGAGAGAGTGCCTGATAGAGACAGACAGAAAGAGAGTCAAAAACAGTCAAGAAAGAAAGATAAAGCTAAGAAACAGACACACAACAAAAACACAGAAAGACCGAAATTAGATAAAGAGAAAGGCAGAGAGAGGAAAAAATATATATATAAAAAGAGAATAGATACAAACAGCGAGGAGACAGCAGTCGCTTAGGTCCTTCTTGCCCTCACACAGACTCGACGGTGGAGGCGAGGGAGATCATATTGTGGGAGAAGTGGGGGGGAGGAGGGAGGGAGGGAGGGGGAGGAGAGGAAGGAGACACAGAGCAAACCATCAGATCAAAGAATCTATTACCTATGTACATCGTAAGTCTAGCAGGGATGGGAACGCGGTTGGAGTGAGGGGGGGTGGGGGTGAGGGGAGGGGGCAGAAGGCAGAGGGGAGGAAACAGGATGAACGGGAAGGGAAGGGGGAGAGAGAAAGATAAAAGGAAAATACAAGAAATGAGACGTACGAAATGCATATATAAATACACACACCCCACAAACACACACGGATATATATATATATATATATATATATATATATATATATATATATATATATATATATATATATATATATATATATATATAATAAAAATAACTAGAAGAAACGAGGTAATAAATAAAATAGATGAATGGAACAAATAAAGCACAAAAAGAAAATGTGGAAAATGAAAAAATGAGATAAAGATGAGATAAGATGGAATTAAGTGATAACGAATGCGTTCGGGAGGGAAGGGGAGGGAGCCCAGAAGGAGGCGGAAGAGCAGGATGATAAAGAGGGGAAGAAGGAGTAAAAGGAGAAAAGGAAAGAAATGTAGAAAGGGAGAAAGGGAGAGAAAAGAAAAGGAAGAACCGAATGAGAAATAGAAGGAGGAGGATGAAGAACGAAAGGAGGGGAACACGGAAGGGGAGAAGGAGGAAGAGGAAGAATGGAAGGATGAGGTGGAGAAGAGGAGAAGAGTAGAAGGAGGAGGAGGAGGAAGGAAACAAAAGAGGAGGAGGAAATGAAGGAGGGAAGAGAAAGAGAAAGAGGAAAACGAGGAGGAGAAGGAGGAGGAAGGAAAAAAATAGAGGAGGAGGAAATGAAGGAGGGAAGAGAAAGAGAAAGAGGAAAACGAGAAGGAAGAGGAGCAGGTGCAAGAGAACAAGGAGTGGAAGCAGGAGGAGGAGGAGGAGGAGGAGGAGGAGGAGGAGGAGGAGGAGGAGGAGGAGGAGGAGAAGGAGGAGGAGGAGGAGGAGGAGAAGGAGGAGGAGGAGGAGGAGGAGGAGGAGGAGGAGGAGAGGAGGAGGAGGAGGAGGAGGAGTAGGAGGAGGAGGAAGAGGAGGAGGAGGAGGAGGAGGAGGAGGAGGAGAAGGAGGAGGAGGAGGAGGAGGAGGAGGAGGAGGGGAAGGGAGGGAGAGGGAGCTGCCGGTTAGGGGATTATCCAGGAAACAGCGGTCGGTCTAATGAAGCGACGGTGATCCAAAAATGCAAAGGTAATGAGGTGAACATGAGTGTGAAATGTCATGTCCGGATGGCTGAGGACGCGAGGGGGGGGGGAGGGATAAGGGGGCAGGAGAGAGGTGACGCTTAATGATTAACTTTTGTTTTTGGGATCAGTGGAGACGCGTTTAATTTCTCTGCATGATTGAGTTGCTCATGAGTTGCTTTGAGTGGCATATGTGAATATATATATATATATATATATATATATATATATATATATATATATATATATATATATATATATATATTTGCATTCGTATGTATGTATGTATGTATGTATACAATGTGTAATTCTGTGTGTGTATGTGTGTCACGGAAAAAGAGAGAGAGAGAGAGAGAGAGAGAGAGAGAGAGAGAGAGAGAGAGAGAGAGAGAGAGAGAGAGAGAGAGAGAGAGAGAGAGAGAGAGAGAGAGAAAGAGAGAGAGAGAGAGAAAGGAGGCAGAATGCTTCCAGCAAAACAGAATGAGAAAAAAAAAACACAGACAGACACACCAACCAAAGTACAGCTACCAAAAGGTGATTACATCGTTATCCTCATTTATTCCAAATCAGATCAACATTAAAAAAAACAAAAAAACCGAGCCAAGCACCATCCCAATGGACAAATTCGATAAGACTCGTAAAAGGAGAGAAAATGGAGCACTTAGTAGTCCTCGATTTAGCGGTGTAGCGAGACGCGCTAGATCAGCGGGTCTCTGCCTGCCGTCAATATTGAGGTAATGCTCTTTTAACTTTTCAAAACTACCTTCGTCTCGGGCTCTTTTCCATCTTTCTCTACCCCCTCCCCTCCCCCCCAACACTCGTGCCTCCTCTTACTTCCCTTACCTTTCCTCCCCTCTCCCCATCTCTTTCCTCTTACCCCCTTTTTGCCTTTTCCCCGCCCCACCCCTCTCCCTCTCCCCTTCTTGCACCCTTTATCGTTTCCCCTCTCTACTCTTACTTCTTCCCTTCCCCCTCTCGTCTCTTGACTCTTCCTTCATTCTCTCTCTCTCTTCTTGTTCCCTTTCTCTTTTCCCTTTTTCCCCTCTCCACTCTCACCTCCTTTCTTCCACCTTTCCACTCTTTCCCTTCTACCTTTCCCCTCTCAACTCTACGTCTCCTCTTATTCTCTTTCCCCTCTCCCCTTTCGACTTTTCCCTCCTTTCTCTCCTCTTACCATCTACCTTTTCCCCTCCCCCCTCTCCCCTCTCACCCTTCTACTTTCCCCTTCTCCCCACTCACCTCTGCGTCCCCCTTTATTCTCTCTTCCCTCTCCCCTCTCGGCTCTTCCCCTCACCCCCTACTCTACTCTCCCCTCTGCGTCTCCCTCTATTCTCTTTTGGTTTTATTCAATTTCCGTGTTGGAGAGAAAGGAGAGATGAAAGGGTTGAGTGAAACACATGGAGGGGGGAGGGGTGATGAGAGTAGGGTGTGGAGAGGGGGTAAAGATGAGAGAAAAAATAAACAAAATTAAAGTAATAAGAGTGCATAAGAATAAAAATTGGTATAGGCTTCAGTAAACAATCAGATAAGTGCTCACCACCCCAGTGATGACAAGGGTAGCAATGATACTGCAATAATGATGATGATGACGGTGGTGATGATGATGGTGATGGTGATGGCGATGATGATGATGATGATGATGATAGTGAAATCAACAGTAATAGCGATCGTATAACAGCAACGACAACAAGATCAACAACACTGATAACAATGATAACAATAATAAAAAAGTGATACATTCTTCAAGGTAGAATAAAAACAAAAGCAAACGAAAAATGAAGAAATAACATAATGCAAATACGTATAACCGGATTTTCAGCGCTTAGAACGGCCTTCTGTCAGAGCATCGGCCGAAGAATAGAATTGAAGCAAAAACAGACTTGGTTATATTCCGTATTCGTGGAAACTAACTTATGAATAAGTTATTGCGTCTGTGGTATACTTACACAAGGCGATGAAAAATACGATAGAACTTGAATGAAAGGAAGGTAACCAGTTCATCTTTATTTTGCGGATAATTTTTGGATTAAATGAATGAACGTAGAAAAGAAAAAGAAAAAATAAGAAAATATTCTTAAAACGCACCTGAGAATGAGAAATAAGGAACAAAGTTATTATTCTCAGTTGATTTGTTTATTATTTTTCTCCAAGTAATAGGATACTTCCTAAAGCCAAAGGTTCCCGGTATTTTGTGTGATATAAATATAATTATTTGAGGTGTAATCTTATTTTCAGTCTTATATTAAAGATACATAATTCTTTAATGAATGTAAATATGCCGATACCTGTATGTATGTGTATGTACTTTTATGTAGGCAATATATATGTGTCATACATATACACATATATATAAATAAATAGATAGATATACATACACATATATATAAATATACATATATACATATATATATATATATATATATATATATATATATATATATATATATATATATATATATGCACATACACACACACACACACATATGTACAAGTATACACACAAACACACACACACATATATATATACATATATATATACATATATATATATATATATATATATATATATATATATATATATATATATATATAAACATCCACGGCGTCCAAAAACACCCGGCCGGAGCCACGCCGCTCCCTCAGCACCCGAATCGTGAGGGAGCGCCGGCAGGAGCAGCAACGAACAAGATAATGAAGGTGAAGGCGGTTTAGTTCGTCCACCACACACACTGGCCGAGGGTGATTCACGTATCTTGCGCGAGTGACAATTAAGCCAAAGTAACACAATTTGCATGTATCACTCACAGGGCTGCCAACGCTACGGAGGAGAAGGAGGAGGAGTGTGCGTTTGTGTGTGTGCGTGTGTGTGTATGTGTGTGTGTGTGTAAGTGTGTGTCTTTCCCAGGCTTACCAACCTTCGTCTTCGGGATTGGGGTAGAATAGGTTAGGCAGGCAGAGCGCTATCTTTGAGATAGATGTTGCTTGCTTATCATGTTTTATTTATGCAATATTTATTTATTCTATTTGATGTTTGATTTCGGCGGCGATTCTCAAGTCTTCCTACCTCCCTTCCTCCTTTGCCTACCCCCCCCCCGCCCTTCTTCCTCCTCTCCCTCCCCCCTCCCCCTTATATCCAACGAGAAGATCGAAACTCAGAAACAACAGATCCTCCCGCGATCAAACGCACACTCAAACGCACACACACAATACACGTTTACACACTCAACACAAACATATACACACAGGTCGTTTGCCTAATCTTCCAACGACCCACCAAACATCTGGTCACCCCCTCCCCTCCCCCTCCTCCCCGCCCCCTCCCTCTATTCATCCCTCTCCTCCCTCCTCCAACCCCCCTTCCTACCCCCGCCCCTTCCCTCCCTCCCTCCCTCCTCATCTCTCCCGTTCCCTCACCTCTCCATCCATCCACCTCCTGCTAACAATCGTAACAAGTAATTTGCTCGATAACGGCCTTGTTTGGATTGTTAATAGGATGTTCAGATGACAATGGGGAGCGACCAATGGCCCACACAATAACCATGTTTGATTTTGGGTACATTGAACGCTGCCTCTGTGGCTATTCCCCGGTGGGGCGAGGGGAGACGAGGAGACCGGGAGGGAAAGGAGGAGAAAGGGAGGCTAAGGGGAGAAAGGGAGGCTAAGGGGAGGAAGGGAGGGAGGAGAAAAGGAGGCTAAGGGGAGAAAGGGAAAGGAAGAGAAAGGGAAGCTAAGGGGAGGAAGGGAGGGAGAGGGGAGAAAGGGAGGCTAAGGGGAGGAAGGAAGGGAAAAGAGGAAGAGAATGGGAAACCAATCTTAGGAAGGGTGGAAGAATAAAAGGATAGCAAGGAAGAAAAGGAGGAAGGAAACATGGAGGAATGAAGACCTTATAAGGTAAAAGAGGGAGAGAAGTAGGAAAGAAGGTAAGGGGAAAGAAGGGAGGGAAAGGAAAGCGAGGGGGATAAGGAGGGAAGAAGGCCTGAGGAATGGATGAAATTATGAGGCAGAGGGAAGAAATACGGGGGAGGCAGAGGTGGCCGGCAGAGGGATTTTGTGTATTCAATAAGGACGAGGAAGAGAGAGAGAAACGATTAGCTTTGGGGTAAAGCAGAAATGGCTTAGAGGATTATTGGAGTAATGGCTATTTACATAAATGTATCACAATCGTTGAAGAGGTTACAGGTTTAAAAGGAAGAAAAGATAGGTTTATCGATTGCCACGACCGAGGTAGATTTCATTTTCCGGAAGACAATGCGAACCTCTTCTCAACGACGCAAACTGAAGACGGGACTAAAGTGTTCTAAGTCAACAGTGGAATAATTCCGGGCTTAAACCGAACTTACTTGCAGGTTTATTTGTTTCGCTATCCCCGCTTTGTTTATCTTTCACTTAAACGCTAAAAGAAACTGTCGCTGATTGGCGGAGCTTAGCACGTTCAACCAATCAAAACACGCTCTTAGATTCCCGCTTTCGGTCTGTGACGTGTCGCTCCGCCATTGGTCGAAAGAGGCACAAATGGATGGCGGTTCTACAAAGCCTTTCATAGCTCAAGCCCCAGACTTAATAACGTGCTAATTAGGTGGCCTATAATGCTATCTGGGATATAATGATGCCCCTTCCATTATGGCGCGTGGAAATATGATAATGCTACACGCTGCAAGAGCCGAGTTAATATTTCAACCCACTGGAACCGACTGGAATGGAAGTGTGTCTGAAATGTGTCTGTCTATGTTTGCAGGTGGGATGTGTATTTAGGTGCGCACGAAATGAAAAGTATAAGGTCGTATTTTTGATGGAATTAAACGTGTTCGAGAAAGGACTTGAATTTTCAATTTATATCTTTCCGTGTAAATGTTTGAATGTGCGGATGTTCGTGAGTGTACGTTCTATACATTCGCGAGCATGTGCGCGTATCTGCGTGTATAACCGTGTGTTGCAGCTTCACCATCTGGAGTCTCGGTGTAAGTGGATGAGTGAACGCACTCTAATATGTTATCCCGAGTCCTGGAATGAACTAATTCCATTCCATTACCCAATTTGGAATAGACGCTCGTCGCCTGCGTGTGTCTGTGTCTGTGTGTGTATATATATTATTCACACATATCATCTGTGGATATAGTCGACGCCATCTAGGATAATATTCTGATCTATTATCCTTAGGGGAGAAGGGGGGGGGGGGGCTTGTGTGTCTGTTTACATGTCATCTTCTCGCGCGCGCGTGTGACTGGAATAAATTTTCCTTTCCTCTTCCTTTGTTTCTTTCTCTTTTGCTCTTCGTCATTTGTTGTGGATATTTGGTGAAGCTTTCTTGAACAAGACCTTCTGGAGGCAAGTGATTTCTGTTCCATTTTTTTCTTTTTGTAAAGGGGAAATTATAATGACGATGCGATGATTATGATGATAATGATAAAAATATTAATAATGACGATAACGATAATAATAATAATAATAATAATAACGATTATAATAAAGAAAATTATAATATTAATGATGATGATGATAATAATAATAATAACAATAATGATAATAATAATAATGATAATAATAATAATAATAATAATAATAACAACAATAATAATTATAATAATAATAATAATAATGGTAATGATAATAGTACCGATAATGATAATAACACTAATGGTAATAACAAGGATAATACTAATGACAATAACAATGATAATAATGACAGTGATAACAATAACCGATAACAACTATAATAATGGTCAGGACAAAACAAATATCTGATATCAAAATCGGTATATTATACTGTGATAATGTAATCCCAGTGGTGGCTTATTCGGTGTTATGATTAATAATGTTCATGTTTAATAGTTTTATTAGATATGTGATAATGTTTTTCATAATTTCAATCATAGATCAACAGTAATATGATTTACAGAGTTGTTTTATCAATTACAGGCGAATAATTCAACACTGACAATAATGATCAGTATGAATATTCACGCATGCACTCAAACACGCATACATATACATATACATATACATATACATATACATATACATATACATATACATATACATATACATATACATATACATATACATATACATATACATATACATATACATATACATATACATATACATATACATATACATATACATATACATATACATATACATATACATATACATATACATATACATATACATATACATATACATATACATATACATATACATATACATATACATATACATATACATATACATATACATATACATATACATATACATATACATATACATATACATATACATATACATATACATATACATATACATATACATATACATATACATATACATATACATATACATATACATATACATATACATATACATATACATATACATATACATATACATATACATATACATATACATATACATATACATATACATATACATATACATATACATATACATATACATATACATATACATATACATATACATATACATATACATATACATATACATATACATATACATATACATATACATATACATATACATATACATATACATATACATATACATATACATATACATATACATATACATATACATATACATATACATATACATATACATATACATATACATATACATATACATATACATATACATATACATATACATATACATATACATATACATATACATATACATATACATATACATATACATATACATATACATATACATATACATATACATATACATATACATATACATATACATATACATATACATATACATATACATATACATATACATATACATATACATATACATATACATATACATATACATATACATATACATATACATATACATATACATATACATATACATATACATATACATATACATATACATATACATATACATATACATATACATATACATATACATATACATATACATATACATATACATATACATATACATATACATATACATATACATATACATATACATATACATATACATATACATATACATATACATATACATATACATATACATATACATATACATATACATATACATATACATATACATATACATATACATATACATATACATATACATATACATATACATATACATATACATATACATATACATATACATATACATATACATATACATATACATATACATATACATATACATATACATATACATATACATATACATATACATATACATATACATATACATATACATATACATATACATATACATATACATATACATATACATATACATATACATATACATATACATATACATATACATATACATATACATATACATATACATATACATATATGCATATACATGTACATACACATACATATACATATACATATACATATACATATACATATACATATACATATACATATACATATACATATACATATACATATACATATGCATATACATATATAGATACACACACAGACACACACACACACATAAAATATGAAGATCATATCCTTTTATACGCAGAAACAATATTCAAAGAATTTTTTTAATCTGATAAATGATATAGGGAAAATGAGATATGCAATATTAAAAAGCAAAGAGGAAATGGAGACCGAAAAAACAGAGAAAGAGAGATAATACAACAGAGACAGACAGACACGAAAAAAAAGAAACAAATATGTAGAAAGTTACAGAATAAAAGGGTGTGTTAATGGTAAGGATCATCACATCTGCTGTTTATCATATCAATGGGGAAGAACTCAAATAAGGTAATGCCAATGACAACACTCAGTGATGGTAATGATGTCAGTAATAGTACCAGAAATAGTAAGTAATAATGATAATGAGATAGAGCGATAGAGAGATGAGTGGGAGGGGAGGGGGTGAAGGGAGGAGAGAGGGAGAGGGGAGAAGGGAGAAGGAGAGAGAGGGATAAAGGGGATAAGAGTGAAGAGGGAGAGAAAGAATGGGGGAAAGGGAAAAGAGAGAGAAGGGAGAAGGAGAAAGAGGTAATAGGAGAGAGAGAGGGGGAAAGGCGAGGAGAGAGAGGGGAGAAGAGAGAAAAGAGAGAAAGAGAAAGGAAAGGGAGTCGCAGAGAAAAAGGTAGAGAATGAAGATATGAAAGAAGGAAGAGAATGGGGAGGGAGGGGAGATGGTGGTAGGGAGAGAGGGTATAGGAGAAGGGGACAATTAGGTGGAGGGGGGGGAGGGGGGGCAGACAAACAAGATAGTCGGCCAGACAGGGGTACTAATTACCAATTAGCGACAATTACCGAGAGCATCGTAGAATGATGTCTCTGTTTGCTTCGTGATCTTCGATGGGAGAGAGAGACAGAGGGGGGGGGGGGGGGGGGGAGAGTAATATCAGGAGTGTTCGATTTTTTTTAAGCGTGGTGACAGTTGCTAGGTTTAGGGTCGGGTTAATGCGTCATCATAGTTGACTGCAAGTGATAATGGCAAATGTATCTGTCTGTCTCTATCAGTACATCATATTCTTGGGTTGATCAGACGCTGGTTTTG